CCCCCCCCCCCCCCCCAGCCATGTTCACAGCAACCAAAGTCAAAGTGATCCTTCAGATCTTGGCACGCAAGCTCCCAATGGCTCCCAGCGCACTCGGCATGGAAGTCAGGGTCTTCTAAGTGGCCTTCTGAACCCTGCACACGCCAGGCCCCCCCTCCTCTGGGGTCTCACTGTCTGAGCCCCTCGCCCCGCCTGCTCTCCTCCAGCCACACCGAGCATGCTCCTGCCTCAGGACCTTTGCACGGGTTCCCTCTGCTCACAGTGCTCGCCCAGTTATCCCAGGCAGCTTCCTCCCTCGCCTAATTTGCTGGGTGAGGCTTCCCCGGACCACCGATTTAAAATCACAATATCCCCCATAAAGGGGCCAGACTCCCCATCCCCCTTTCTTACTTTATCATTCTCCAGAACACTTACTTTCCAGATGCTAGATAGTGTGATTTTTAAATTGCCCCCCCAAGAACAGGAGCCCCAGACATCACCTTTCTTCCGGGGCTGGTGCATGGCAGGGCCTCCTTAAAGGCCTGTCATTGCCCTGGCTGGTTTGGCTCCGTGGCTAGAGCATCGGCCTGCGGACTAAAGGGTGCCGGGTTCAGTTCTGGTCAAGGGCACATGCCTGGGTTACAGGCTTAACCCCCAGTGGGGGGGCGTGAAGGAGGCAGCCAATCAATGATTCTCTCTCATCATCGATGTTTCTATTTCTCTCTCCCTCTCCCTTCCTCTCTGAAATCAATACAAATATATTAAAGAAGAAAAAAAAAAGACCTGCCATCGCCTGCCTGGACAGAAGGCTGGACTGTCTGGATGGGAAGAGGCCCCAGCACTGAGGGCACGTACCTTCGGCCCCAGGGAGCTCCTTGCCCTCGGCCTGGGCCTCGTCGGCCTTGGTGTTGGTGCCCTCGCAGGGCATGGAGGGGTTGGGCTCCGGCGCGGGGCTGGAGTTGCTGCTGTTCTCCTGTTTGATGGGGGAGGCGTCCGCTATGGAGCTCTGGTTGCTGTTGTCATCTGGGTGGGGAACAGAAGCACAGGTGAACTCCCGCAGCTGCTGGGGACAGCGGGTGGGGGGCTCAGCTTCCCCACGCCTCGCTGCCCACAGGACGCTGTCCCAGGCAAGGGGACACTCGCCCCTCCGGAACCTCCGAGCTGGCACACCCAGTGCCCTCCCCCACGGGCTCCGAGAGCCCTGTGTTTGGAGGCAGCCAGCCACAGAGGCCTGGCACATTTTGAGTCTCTGGGGGCGTCTGAGGCCTGGTTCTGGGTGAGGAGACCAGACATCGTGTGTGCTTGGCTCGGAAGTCACACGGAGGCCGAAGCGCAGTGCATGGGGCGGCGCTGCCGAAATGTTTCGTCCGGTCTGATCGCGCCTCTAACCAACTCCCACTTGATCCGAAACAAAAGGGAGAGAAAAGCTACCCCAGAAAGTGGGATATTCCACAGGACAGCCGGCCAGGCTCTGCTAGTCAATACCACAAAGGGGGAGAAGGATCAGGGAAGATTACTGTAGATGAAAAAGAAATTTAAGCGCTCTAACAGCTAAACATGATGTGAGAACACTATTTAAATCCTGTGCTGAACGTGCCAGTTGGTAAGAGACGTTTGGGGATGACTGGGGAATTTGAATACAGCCTTAAGTCTAAAAGACATTAAGGAATTATTCTTAATTTTGTTAGGGTTGATAATGGTACACCGGGCACACAGCATACCAATGTCATTCATTAGTGATGCGTGCACCACTAATGCTCAAATGTTCAGGTACAGACTTAAGTATCACGATGAAGGGAAATTTACTTTAAAATGCTCTAGCCCTGGACAGTGTGGCTCAGTTGGTTGGGTGCAGTCCTGTGCACCAGGAGGTCGCCAGTTCGATTCCCAGTCAGGGCGTATGCCCAGGTTGCAGGCTCGATCCCCGTGTGTGTGTGTGTGGGGGGGAGTTAGGGGGGGAGGGGGGCGTGCAAGAGGTAGCTGATTGATGGTTCTCTCTCTCCTCCTTCCTCTTTCTCTAAAATCAATTTAAAAATTAAAAAAAGAAATGCTCTAGCACAAGCTACATACCATTTTCAGAATTACCTGAACTTTACTCTCAAGAGCTGTGCATTTTTGATACGCACATTGTATTTCAATCAGAAAAACGTTAACACATTTTTAACAACAGAAGAGGCAGAAATGGCATATATCAGTGGAAATCTAGGTGGTAGGTATATGGGGATGATTAGCAGTACTACCCTCTCCATTCTTTTCTCTTATGAAATTTTTCACAATAAAAAGAAAAAAAGGAAAGAAAGTTATTTGGGCGATGACATTGGTGGTTGAGCGGGTGGCACAGTGGGGGTCCCGGGGCACATACACCCTTGCTTTGGATCCCCTTTCATGGGCATAGAGAGTCACCTTAAACTGCAGCTTTTCAAGCAGTGATTTCAAAAACACGACCACAATCGTACGCTGCTTTTCTGGGCTGTGCCGCACACCTGGGACCAAGGCCATTTTTGTAAAACTGCGAGAGGGGAGATCCATTCGTCCGGGGCACCGACAACATGTCGGGCAGGAGGGGACTCCAGGGGGAGCACTGGGGACGTTCTGTCTTGATCTGGGCCAGCTCCATGGGCGAGTGCAGTTTGTGAGCGTTCAAAGGAGCCACAGGCTTGGGATGTGTGTCCCTCCTCTCGGATAAAAAGGTAAAAGGAGACATAAACGCCAGCGACGTCAAGACCACGGCAGACTGGCTAACGCGCGTCTCCCGCCTGGAAATGCTCGGTGGGACGCTGGTGACAAGCTTTGAAATAAGACAGCGAAGGAAGGAAGGCTGTCGATGTGGATTTACATGAAGCCAGAAACCCAGGTTGGAGCTTCCCAGTAGCCAAAGCGAAACAGGAAATACAACACAGCCATCTGTGTAGTAAGTCAGGCCTCGGAGGCGAAAAGAACATCTCCTGTGAGATTTCTGTCACTGGGTGAGAAGAAGGTCTTGACTTTATGTTTCTGGGCTTGCGGGGCTTGGAAAAGGAGTTTCTTCTCCTCCACTGAGCCTTTTCCTTGGCACAGAGGCCCAGGCCTGCCCAGCCCTCCTACCCCTTTGCCTGGAATGTGAACGAACCTGCTGGTGAAACAAAATACGACTGAGCCGCTTGGGCCCAGCCTGGCAGGAGAGGGCCGGGCGGCCGGGGGAGCTCACCGTGCATGTCCATCATCCCCGGGGAGGAGCTGTTCTCTGGCGTGGTCACCTCCGAGCCACACTTCTCATCTTTGCCCTTTTTCTTGTTCTTGTTTTTCTGGAGGAGGAAACGGAGCAGAAATGGAGTCACCAGATCGCGTGTGTGCGGGCAGGAGCGAGACCTGGAGGGTGCCATGAATGACTCCCCTTGGAGCCCCCAGGTCCCTGGAGGGCTCCCCTTGGCCTGCACTTGAACATGTCCTGTTAGGGGCCTCCCCTGCTTTGGAATCAGAGCCCTGCAGTGGGAGGTTTCTGGGGCTGGGACAAACCCCCCCGTGTCTGTGGGGCCAGGACCAACAGGCACGCAAACACCCTGGCTGGCAGGGGTCTCCTCCTCCTTCGGGGGGAGCGTCTGGGGGCCAGGCCATGGTTACCCTCCCAGGGCAGGTACAGCGATGCCAGGGGAGCCATGGGAAAACACAGATCTCACACACTCCCACTGTGGCCAGGCCCCAGGGCAGCCTCTCTCGGGCACCACAGAGGGAGACGAGGGGAGGAGGACCGGGGGAGGGGGTGCTTTTGCGTGGGGTTCCACTTTTAAACCTGGAATGGAACGGTGTCAGAAGCGCCGTGTCCATCGGTAAGAGGCTCGTTAAATAAATGACCGTGCGTTCGTTCAATGTAATGTGATGCAACAATTACAGAGAGTCAGGCGGCTCTTCATTTAATAACGGGAAACAATCTACGAAAATGCCAGCACTGAACACATTTCAGTTTCTCCAGGACGTTTTTATATAAAAGGTGCGGGGTGGACTGCTGCCATTAACGGTGAAGGAAAGAACAAGGAAGTGAGCTGAGTGGGGTGGGGTCGTGCGCAGGGAAGGGAAACAATTTATAAAAAGATACACAGGAAAGCCCTGGCCAGGGAGCTCAGTTGGTTCGAGTGTCGACCCACACACCGAAAGCTTACAGGCTCGATTCCCGGTCAGGGCACACACCGAGGTTGTGAGTTCGATCCCCAGTTGGGGTGTGTACGGGAGGCAACCAATTGACGTTTCTCTCTCCCTCCCTTCCTCTTTCTCTAAAATAATAATAAATAAATAAAAAACCACACATATCCTCGGGTAAGGATTTTAAAAAAAAGATACACAGACACCCCAGGACCTGGACATTACTGCTCCGTTGCAGGAAAGAGGGAACAAAGGCCCAGCGAGGTGGGGTCCCCTGTCCAACATCACGGGTTCGTCGGGGGTGCTCTGTGCCCAGCTGGAGCCGCCCCGTCCTCCCGACAGCCCGGATGTTGTGTTTTCTCCTTGATCACGATCCATTTGGCACTTCCCTGATGTCTGTTCCGTGCTATTCTATAATTATCTTCCCCCCGCGAGATTATAAATTCCTTGAGAGCAGGGACCATGTCTTCTCAAAGGCAACGGTGTTTACACAACACCCGACGGTGTGCAAGGCACAGACGACGACAGAGCCAGGGCTGCCTCTGAGGAGCCTGGTCACACCGTGTCTCCCTCCGAGCGGCCAGCGCCAAATGCCGCAGTGGTCTAGGTCTCGGGGCCGCTGGGGAAGGCAGCTCTGGTGGCTCCTCGAACCCAGACCAGACAGAACCAGAAGTGACAAGCACCCATGTTCTCAGCCCAGCGCCCCTCCCGGCAGGAGACTCAAGGCTGGTAACCAAAGACAGCGGCTTTCAACCAGCCTTTCTGGCCCCCTCTAAACCTGCCAATCACGATCCTGTCACCTCCAGGAGCAAATGAAACCATGCGGCTCCGTGTGAGCCACCTTCCTGGAGGTGGGGCCAATCACAAGAACGGGAAAGGCACTCCAGGCAGGAGGAACAGCCCCTGCAAAGGCCTGGAGGTGGGACCGTTCAGGATTTTGACTGGGAACTAGAGTAGCTGACCTGGGGTCTTTGGGAGTCCCTGGTCTCAGAGCCTCTAAGCTGAAAAACTGCCGGGAGGGGTTGTCATCATCCCTCCCTCCCTAAAATCAAGCACAGCCGCTGGGGCTCCCCCTGGTGGGCAGAGTCACCACCCCTCCTGGAGCCACCCAGGCTCCCTGTGCAAAACTCGGGGGCGAGAACAAAAGGGTCTCCAGGAATGGAGAGAGCATGGATCCCGGAGTCAAGATGGACATGGCCCTTGCTGTGTGACTCTGGGGAAATGGCTTCCCCTCTCTGAGCCCGTGTCCTCACTTGTACAGAGAAGACAGAGATCAACTCCACAGACTCAGCATGAGAAATAAACGAGGTAATACCCGGCCTATAGTCGGGTGCTACCATGATGGGGAGCATCCGCCTGTCCGTGGGTACCCCTACGGCAGCCCCCTAATCATGGTGCCCAGGGTCCCTGGGGAAGGTGTGTCACCACTGGCAACCCGTGGGGCTCTCTGCCCAAGAGATGCCATGCAGGGGATATTCCAGAGGGCGGGCCCCTCATACTCACATCGTCAACCTTTGGCTCCGTCACAGGGACCCACTTGTAGATCCGCAGGGATGTGTCACCCACGGTCACCCACTTCTTCTCCCTGCGGAGGAGGAGGAAGAGCCTGTTACAGGGGCTCTGAGGCAGGGCCCTGCTCCGCCCTTGTGGGGGCCCTGACCCCACTCCCTCGGGGCAGCTGTGATGTGGTGGCCGCTCGAGGTTAAGAGGACAAGCGCTATGTTGGCTACCTCAGACTGTGTGTGTTCAAGGCTTCGGATGCCTGGAAGGAAGTGCTTGGCAAGACTGGGAGGCGGGAGAGCGGCTGCCATGAGGATGACTCCCCTGGACGAGGGGAACTGGGCCCCAGGTCCCTCCAGCTTCCCCCCACAGAGCCAGCAGGCCGGGCCAGCCAAGCCCCTCAGGCCGCAGGGAGGGCCTCAGGCCAGCCAGGTGTTTCCTCCTGGGGG